CTGGAGCTCGGCGCTGATCCTGGTGCTTCTGCTGAGCCCTGAAGAAGCGCCGATCAGCTGGAATGTTGCAGCATCTCCAGGCTCTTGTGATTTACATTCAGATGCTTGGCAACTGATTCATATTTATGACGGTCACAGTGTCCCAGGGTCATGTGAAGGGACAAAACCTACTGCAACCACCCAGCAGACGGGGGGAATAAAAACCAAACACCCCCCACCCCACCCTCACTGCCAATCCTCAACAGAAATGCTCACAACAATGAAAACCTCGGACAGGAGGAAGAGCGCCGCTGGGTGGGTAGGCAGGTGTCTTGCTCGGCTGTGGCTTGGGAGGCACTTTTTGAGTGCCGTTGTAACTTTGAACAGTCACTAAGCGAACAGTTGTAAGTCGAGGACTACCTGCACTTTATCTCTTTTTTTTTTTTTTTGGTCATCAAATTTTTGACACCTTGCTAGGTGACTGGTGGTACTCAGATGTTGCCATATTCTAAAAGTTGTTCAAAGGGTGAAAAAGTTGAAAAGCCCTGTTCTAGAATCCATTTGAAAGTACACCTAGTTGTGCAGAGAGAAAATGCAGCTTGGTGCGCTGTGAGGTTTTAAGAAATCTTTACCTTTTGGATATCAAAGTGGTGACCTCGGAGTAAAGGTTCTGGATAAGGAAATCTATGATTAAAATGTGGGACTTTTAATATCACGAAAGGACGTTCTCATTTAGTTGATGATATTTGCCAGTTTCATCAATATTAAGATGTGCTTTGTACGCTTCAGCCTAGGTATCCAGCAGTGGATCACAGTTCTGCCAGGGCCGGGGGTTGGACTAGATGACCTCCAAGGTCCCTTCCAACTCTATTACCGTTACTGAGCCGGAATGTCGTTACTGTCTGTCTGGACGTACGGTATATTTTTGACCGGATTCTTTTTTTTCCAAAATGAAAAGATGGGACGATAAAGGCTTTGTTTGATGGAGAGAGGAGGAAAAAAAATGACCTTGAATCTGGAGATTAAAAATTAATTACCAGTTGAAAAATACACGCCGACGCATTATTTCAACAAAGTAGTTTTCATAATGCTCGGCATTCTAAATGAACAAGGTAGCTCAGGAGCTTAGTTCATATGTGACAATAAAGCAATATAGGATTTTTTTTCTAAAAAAAAAAATGTTAATAAAGTTTAGGAATACCTAATTGCACTGTTCTTGAACGTGGACCAAATTGAATTCATTTTCCGAAGGCTGCTGGGAGCTGCGTGTAAATCTCTGATTGTTCTATGACCATCTAGGACAGTGGTGGCATGCCACAGGTGGCATGCAGACCCCTCTCGGTGGGCACGCGTGCCATCGCCTCAGTCCTAGACCTTCAGCTGGGTTTTATAAAACCTTTTCACTTTAGGCCTCCGCCGCCGTGTGCAAAAAAAAAAAAAAAAAAAGGTTCAATCAATCAATCAATTTCAACTTCTCGCGGGAAAAAAAAGATCTCGCAAAGTTGGAATTGATTGATTGAACTTTTTAGTCCCACCCAGTCTGCCGTTACCACCGTAGCCACGCCCACCCAATGGGCCACGCCCACCCAATGGGCCACACCCACCCCGCACCCAACGATACATAAGTGGGTTTTGGGTTGCAGTTTGGGCACTCGGTCTCTAAAAGGTTCGCCATCACTGATCTAGGATTACAGGGCAAGTGAGATTAGTCAGATTCAGAAATTCAATCAAGCTGATTTGTTATGAGATAAAAACAAAGGATATTAGTGCTATGTCCTCTGCGGTGATTCACTTAACCGTGACCAAAAAAAAAAACAACAACTGTAAAATCAGGTGCAACTAATTTAATAGCCCCTTTGCTTAGCAATGGAAACTTTGACCTCGGTTGTGGTCATAAATTGAGGACCTGTATTGCGACAAATCACGTCTGCCTCTTGCTAGATAATCAAAAGGCTGTCTAGGACAGGGGTATATCACGGAGAGAGACTTCAGCGATGCTATAGGTAATCCTCAACTTACAACCACAACTGAGCTCAGAATTTCTGTCGCTAAGCGAGGAAATCATTAAGGGAGGTTTGGCCCATTTTACGACATTTCTTGTCACGGTTGTTAAGAGAATCACTGCAGCTGTTCAGCGAGTCCTGTGATCATTAAACAAACCTTGCTTCCCCCCGTTCACTTTGCTTATCGGAAGCCGGCTGGGAAGGTCACCGATGATGATCACGTGACCCGGGGGACACCGCAACCGTCATACATACATGCCAGTTGCCAAGCACCTGAATTTTGATCACATGACCCGGGAGAGGCTGCAACGGTCCTAAAAGCGTGAAAGCTCCTCATTGGTCACTTTTTTCAGGGCCGTTTTCACTTCGACCAATCACTAAATTAACGGTTGTAAGTCAAGGACTACCTGTAAATGCAAAATATAATTCGAACAAAACAGTAACCTTATTAAAAGCCGCTCACCTCGAGAGCGTCATTCATGAACAGTTCTGGGCTTCTTCACCCCCCTTGACAATCTAATACTGGTAGTGATGACTTAGGGTTACAACTGGGCCCAAAATTTCTGCCGTTAAGTGAGGCAATTCATTAAGTGAGTTTTGCCCCATTTTACGACCTTTCCTGCCACGGTTGCGAAGTGAATCACTGCAGTTGTTAAGTGAGCAACCCGGTGGTTAAGTGAACCTGCCTTCCCCCGTCGACCTCGGCACATCAGAAGGTCACAGAAGGTGATCCCGTGACCCTGGGACACAGCAACGGCCATAAGTATGAGTCAATTGCCAAGCCCCTGAATTCTGATCACATGACCACGGGGACGCTGCAAAGGTCGTAACTGTGAGAAAAATGGTCATAAGTCACCTTTTCTAGTGCCGTTGTAACCTTGAACGGTCGCTAAATGAACTAGTGTAAATCGAGGACTGCCTGTAGGGTAACTGCTGTCTAAGGCCACCAGGATTTCAATCCCTGTTCAGCTCTGAAACTCCTTGAGTGACTTTACATCCCAATCTCATCTGCCCCTTGTCTCAGGGACTTCTTGAAAATCTTTTTGAGAGTCTCCCAGCCATAACTAATACGATATAAAACCTGTCTTGTCACTCCTGTTATATTGGCAGGATAATGGTTTGATGGCCCCAAATGTCAGGCAGAGTGACATGCCTCATGTAAAACCCAATATATTTAAAAAAAAAAAAACCCAAAACCATTGGAAATGGGCTATTGAGAACATTCTTTATTAGGCAATAATATCTCAAACTCTCCTAAATGCCTATCTGGCTCCGGAGGGTGTTTTAACAGTCTGAGGCAGAGGTGGCGACCCTATGGCACGCGTGCCAGAGGTGGCACTCAGAGCCCTCTCTGTGGGCGTGCGCGCCATGCCCCGGAGATGGCAACCGTACCTCTGCAACCAGCCACCCGCTAACTCGCTGAGGTCCTACGTGGCCGGATGCATCTCAGCATGGCTGGTTTCCCTCCCCCCTGTCCCATCCCTCCTGGCCTCGCATCCTCTCCTTTTCCCCGGCGCGACCCATTGCATCGCCTCTTCAGCTGTCGGCCGGCCGTCCAGCTCAGAGGCGGGTTCTCTGAACTGCTGGCGGCAGGCTGGGGAACCCCAGAGAGCGCCGGTCAAGGGGCCGGCAGGCTGTGGCTGCTGACGGACACTGTCGGCCCCGCTGGTCTCTGTGTGTGGGGGCCGATGGCGTCAGGCAGCAGCCTCCCCGGCCTCTGCCTCGCCTTGCCCTGCAACAGTGGCACCCCCACCCTGCCTCGCCTCATCCCGCAGGACGAGCCTCCTGCCCACCACCCCACCTGCCAGAGACCCCCTAGATCTCCCCCAACCCTGCCCGGCCCCCACAGGCGTCCCTCCCCACGAGCAATATCAAGGTGATCACGCCCAACTTGGCCACACCCACCCAGTCTGCCATGACCACCACAGCCATGCCCGCTCAGTGGGCCACGCCCACCTGGCACCCGGCGATAAATAAGTGAGTTTTGGGTTGCAGTTTGGGCACTCGGTCTCTAAAAGGTTCGCCATCACTGGTCTGCAGTATTAAAATCCCAATTGTACACGTCACTCCCACAGATTCCTTTTCAGTTCTAATTGTGCTTCGATTTCTCATTTTCTGGATATTTTTTTGCTATTTTGTTTTTAAATTGTAGCATAGTTAGTCCTTTGACTTACAACCACAATTGACCTTAAAATTTATGCTGCAAAGTGAAAAGTTCACTAAGTGAGTTTGGCCCCATTTTTATGGCTTTTCTCGCCGCTGTCGTTAAACGAATCGCTGCAAGTTGTTCAGTTAGTAGCACGGTTGTTAAGTGAATCTGGCTTCCCCCATTGACTTGGCTGGTCAGAAGGTTCCAAAAGTGGATTGCGTGACTCTGGGACGCTGCCCCCGTTGTAAATACGAGTCCGTTACCAAATGTCCAAACTTTGAGCTGCAGTCATAAGTGTGAAAAAAAAGGTTTCGAGTCCCTTTTTTTCCAGTGCTGTTGTAACTTTGAAGAGTCCCTAAATGAACTGTAAGTTGAGGGCTGCTCGTATTTAATCCAGAGCTGCTTCAGCCTGTAAGGTAATTTTTCTCGCGCACAATATTTCCACTTAGCCATGTTATTAGATCAGTGGTTCTCAACCTGTGGGTCAGGACCCCATTTGGGGTCGAACGACCATTTCACGGGGGTCGCCAAACAACGCAGTCTGCCATTTCCCCCCCTTTTCCTTAGCTGTGCTACTCCCTTTTATTCTATTGGCTTTTGAAAGCCAATAGAATAGACTCTCTTGAATAGAGTCTAATTCTATTGGCTTTCAAAAGCCAATAGGAATTGTCCAGGCTGTCTCTGCCCTGCTGAGCCCGCCAAAAGTCCCAGTCTGCAAATGGTGCTGCACCAGTTGAGTACTCCTCGACTTACGACCGGTTGGGGGTCGCGGCATTAAAAAGGTTGAGAACCACTGATTTAGATCATCTCCATAAGCCTTTGGAACGCTTTCTGACACTAATCCGCCAAATCTTCTCTGCTCCTTCTAGCTGGACAGCGCCACCTCCCTCATCCAAGCTGCCAAAAACCTGATGAACGCCGTGGTCCTCACCGTCAAGGCCTCCTACGTGGCTTCAACCAAATATCAGAAAGTCTACGGCACCGCTGCCGTCAACTCGCCGGTGGTCTCTTGGAAAATGAAAGCCCCTGAAAAGAAACCACTGGTCAAGAGGGAAAAGCCGGAAGAATATCAGACGCGGGTGCGAAGAGGCTCTCAAAAGAAACACATTTCACCCGTACAGGCTCTCAGTGAATTTAAAGCGATGGATTCCTTCTAACTCGCTCCCGCTTCGCCACGAGGGGTTGTTTTTTTTTCTATCGGCCTTCCATGTTTTTGTATGCGTACCTGCCGACTTGTATGTGTCCGGCATGGGGAGGAGGGGGTGTTTGGGCAGAACCAGGATAACGAAGCAGTGTCGATTTGCATGCAACCGAGACTCAGTTAAGCCATCGTGCAGTTTTCCTTCCCCCCAAAAAAGACATAACGGCGTTCCTTACGTTGACTAGCGGCCTGTCTCACCGGCCTCTTTCCTAAAGTAGCAAAAAAAAAAAAAAGGCTTTATTTTACTTTATTTATTTTTTAAAGGAGGCTTTTTTTAAGGAAAAAAAAAAAAGATTGCATTGTAAGAGCAGGATAGGGAAGGAGAGACCAGGATGGAAAATGCGGGATCCTCGGTGCTGTCCAAGCTTAGCTGTTTTGTTGCAGACGTTTCATGATCAATCTAGACCAGTGGTTCTCAACCTTTTTAATGCCACGACCCCCAACCGGTCGTAAGTCGAGGACTACTCAACCGGTCCTAAGTCGAGGACTACTCAACTGGTGCAGCACCGTTTGCAGAATGGGACTTTTGGCGGGCTCAGCAGGGCAGAGACAGCCTGGACAATTCCTATTGGCTTTTGAAAGCCAATAGAATTAGACTCTATTCAAGAGAGTCTATTCTATTGGCTTTCAAAAGCCAATAGAATAAAAGGGAGTAGCACAGCTAAGGAAAAGGGGGGGGGAAATGGCGGACTGCGTTGTTTGGCGACCCCCGTGAAATGGTCGTTCGACCCCCAAATGGGGTCCCGACCCACAGGTTGAGAACCACTGATCTAGGGAACATCATCCGTGCTGGATGGAGGGGGGGGGGTTGCTCTCCGTTTATATACAAGTGGTTTGCTCTGTTAGTGTTGGTGGGAATGGCTTGGTAGTTCCTGTTATTTAAGGTTAGCTTGCTTGTTTTGAAATGGTGGGAAGTATCACCAGGATCGCTTGCACCAACACCTATAAACGGAGAGCAAAGGCTGGCGCGGATGACGTTACCTAGCTGGGTCATGAAACGTCTGCAAGAAAGCCACCCAGCTCAGAGAACAACCAGGACCCTTCATTTCATCTCTGAGCTGCAGATATTCTCTTCTCTCGGACGGGGAGAGCTCGTCCATGCACGGAACACGGAAAGTTGGCAGGAGCATTTGCAGATGGGAATTCTTTGAAGGGCGGTGGGGATCCATAAAACAGCTTGTGTTGCTTTTGTAACTAGCCAGTGTGCTTGAATGTGTGGCCTGAATAATGAGACGATTTAATTTCGAGCCCTCTTCATTATGGTCTGTGGATTTTTAGCCAAGCCGGTGATTCGAAAACAAAAACGAAACGCAGAATGAATGCTTCCTTTTATTTCACTTCCCCCCCCCCTTTTTTTTCGAATAGTGCTACGATGAACACTCATCTAATTTGAGCCATTTGCCTTCTCCATCCCCCCCCCGCCCCTTCTTTTTCTTTTTTCTTTTTTTTCCAAACTTGAGTTTCTTCTGGTGAAGTATGAAGCACAACATGGTGGTTGACATTGCCTTTTGTATTATTATAGTTATAACGATGAATATTATTAGAAATAGAGCCGGTGGTAGAATGTGTAGAGAGACATGGGAGCTGAGACACATGTCAGAATTTAGAAACAAATATGTAGGTGTAGCTTTGAATTACAGCAAGATATCCAATAGACCATCATAACCGCTAACTCAATAAACTTATTTAACCTTGGTGTTCTCTGCATGGCTCATTTGTTCAACGTAAACATTGACTCTCTTATCCTCCCTGACTCCAGCCTGCAAAACAAACTTGGGTTGGAACACTTATTGACAAGAGCGGTTGGTTTTTTTTTTTTTTTTTTTTTTTTTTGCAGACATCCAGCTGAATTTCAATCGCAACTTCCAGTCTTCTCCAGTTTTGTACAGGAAGTCTTGGACTTGCAAACATTCATTTAGTGACTGTTTGAAAGTTACAAAGGTATTGAAAAAGAAAAGTGACTTATAAGCAGTTTTCACACTTAATAATGGTGGCAGCATTCCCAGGGTCTCATGATAAAGATGTGGGTGCGTGGCAACTGGCATGTATTTATCACGGTGACGGTGCCCCAGCGTCACGTGTTCCCCTTGGCTGTCTGACGAGTCAAGTCAATGGAGACACCAGATTCACTTAATAACAAATTGCCATTTGTAACTTTCCCGCAAGTCCCTTGGACTGCAAGGCGATCCAACCGATCAGTCCTAGAGGAGATCAACCCCGACTGCTCTTTAGAAGGCCGGATCCTGAAGTTGAAACTCAAGTACTTTGGCCACCTAATGAGAAGGAAGGACTCACTGGAGAAGAGCCTGATGCTGGGAAAGATGGAGGGCAAGAGAAGAATGGGATGACAGAGAATGAGGTGGCTGGATGGAGTCACTGAAGCAGTAGGTGTGAGCTTCAATGGACTCCAGAAGATGGTAGAGGACAGGAAGGCCTGGAGGAATGTGGTCCATGGGGTCGCGATGGGTCAGACACGACTTCGCAACTAACAACAACAAACCTTCCTACCCGGCTTCCGACAAGCAAAGTCGGAAGGGTGGCTAAAGTGGGGTTGGGTGGCTTGAGTTTCAGCATTTTGTAGAAAACACAACTATGGTGGGCTTTAGTACATTGTGTGAAATCAAAAGTTAGTCGGGTCATCCACTGTATTTCCTGAGTAGTGTCCATCACTCTACTTTTCCCCCTTTTAGTTGTTTTATTTTTATTCTGCCTTCATTACTTGTTAAGTAACTCACAATAGCAAATATACCTAATACTACTTCCTCCCCCTTTTTTCACACCACAACAACCATGTGAAGTGGACCGGGCTGAAAGAGAGGGCCTGGCTCAAAGTCACCTAGCTAGAACTCACTGTCTCCTGATGATTGCCCCAAAGTCACCCAGCCAGATTTCATCCTTAAGCAGGGACTAGAACTCTCCATCACCTGGTGATTGGTGCAAAGTCGCCCAGCTGGCTTTCATGGTTAAGGCAGGACTAGAACTCACCATCTCCTGGTGATTGGCCCAAAGTCACCCAGCTGGCTTTCATGCCTAAGGCAGGACTAGAACTCACCATCTCCTGGTGATTGGCCCAAAGTCACCCAGCTGGCTTTCATGCCTAAGGCAGGACTAGAACTCTCCATCACCTGGTGATTGGCCCAAAATCACCCAACCAGCTTTCATGGCTAAGGCAGGACTAGAACTCACTGTCTCCTGGTGATTGGCCCAAATTCACCCAGCCAGATTTCATGGCTAGGTTGAGACTATAACTCACCATATCCTGGTTTATAGGCCATCACCTTAACCATTACACCAAACTGGCTCTCAAAATATCTGTGCAATGAAAATAATGTTCTTTAGAGTCACACAATTAAATTGGTTTGCATCGTTTTTGGAACTTAACATACTTTTGCATCAAAATGTAAGAACTGTTTGACTTGTCCATCATATTTGCCCCCAGACCTGGAAACCATAGAAAACATTATTCTAACACATCGTTAATTCCTGATCCACCGCTTTATGTCACCTCGCCTAAGCATTCAGAACTTAATATAATTCTTTATTTCCAAGATTTCCCCCCCCCCACCTTGGCTAGGAGTAAACAAAATCAAGATCTCTGAATAAATGATTCCTTTCAGAAGCGACAGTAAGTCAAGTAATTCAGCAACTTTGAAAGCAAAAGGCAGCAAACAATCAGGCGTGGTAAATTCTTCATTTCATCAAGGAAATGTGCTTTTTCTTATCACAAGCTGCGCTTTAAGAGTATATAATTCTTTTCAGGAGTGGATAAAATGCTTTTAATAGCAGACCATCCGGGTGCGTGTAAGGAGGGAATGTTACTGTATAATTATACAAAAATAAGAAACAGTTTCTTAAGATATCCCTAAATCCTTTTTTTTTTTCCTTTCCAAATCCTCCCAATTGAAATGAGCAGGATCTCAGCTATGCCTTGATTTTTCTATATTTTTATAAAGCCATTAATTCCCAAACCAACATCAGGACTCTGATGAGCTGCCTCCTATATTCCTGATTTATAATCCAACAGCTACATCAAAACGCTGTCGGGGGTCTCTGGTTTGTAAATACCCTAGCCATGAAAACCAAAATATGGAATATTTCTCTTAGATTCCTGATCCCTTTTTTATGGTGTTTCAAACGGCGATCTCTTTGTAGACAAATGCAAGCTCCAAATGCAGATATTCAAGTGCTGTTTTTTATTTTCTCCTGATCTCAGACTTCACCGGCAGTTTTGAGCAACTTTGATCTTGGCAAATGAAAAAGTTCAGAGCTTTTGCTGGAAAAAAAAATATTCCTTTTTTTGGCTGTCTTTTCGAAGAAAGAAGCTTTTTTTAGCACATTTTTAAGTCTTGGGATATGTTCACCATAAGATGGCTTATTTAATAGGATATAATTCTTATGTAATAGTGTACATATTCTATATTGTATGATAGTGTATATAATTACATCGCAATTGCCTGGGTAAGTGAAGTAACCAAGAATCAGTTCCCTTTCAGTGATTTGGTTCCTGCCTCACCTGTTTTATTCATTTATTCAATCAATCAATCAATCAGCCAGTCATGCATTAGTCGTCAAATTTATATAGGCAGCCATCTCAAGAAAAAGGTGATTTGGGGCTTATTATTTCTTTGTATATTCGTTTGTATCCCATCCTTATTATTTTTTATAAGTAACTCAAGATGGTGAACATCTTGAGTTTAGGTCAGAGAAGAGCAACTAAGATGATCCAAGGCCTGGAGAATAAAACATACGAAGAATGGCTGCAGGACTTCGGTTTGGCTAGTCTAAAGAAAAGAAGAAATAGGGGAGACATGATAGCAATGTTCCAGTGTCTGAGGGGCTGCCACAAAGAAGAGGGGGTCACGTTGTTCACCAGAGCACCAGAGGGAAGGACGAGAAACAATGGATGGAAACTAATCAAGGAGAGAAGCAAGCTAGAACTAAGGAGAAACTTCCTGACAGTGAGGACAATCAACCGGTGGAACAGCTTGCCACCAGAAATTGTGGACGCTCCATCACTGGAGATTTTGAAGAGGAGACTGGACATTCACCTGTTTGAGATGGTATAGGTTCTGCTTGAGTAGATGGCTGGACTAGAAGACCTCCAAGGTCCCTTCCAGCTCTGCTATTCTATTCTATTCTATTCTATTCTATTCTATTCTATTCTATTCTATTCTATTCTATTCTATTCTATTCTGTAATTCTGTTCTATTCTATTCTATTCCATGTTCCATTCTTATTCTTTCCTATTCTGTAATTCTATTCTATTCCATTCCATTCTATTCTATTCTATTCTATTCTATTCTATTCTATTCTATTCTATTCTATTCTATTCTGTAATTCTGTTCTATTCTATTCCATGTTCCATTCTTATTCTATTCTATTCTATTCTATTCTATTCTATTCTATTCTAAACTTACCTAATACTCTCTCCTCCTCCTATTTTCCCCAGCACAACAACCCTGTGAGGTAGGTTGGACAGAAAGTATGACTGGCCAGTC